TGGTGGTAATGCAAAAATAAGACCACATAACCAACAAATTATAACTGTCCAATATGAATTTTGTCCAATAACTCGATTTTGTGCATTCGTTTCAAAAACTAAAACATAACGAATAATTGATATCATCATTAACGTAAACATATGAACACAACCATTTAAATATGAAACAAAACCTTCAAATTGACAATAAAAAGGTGAGCACAATCGATGACAAGATAAACATTGGATAGACACTGATGGTACTATCACAATGATTACTGATATTGATGATAAAACCATTGATAATACTAAAAAATAATAACGAAACCGAACATGTCGATGATATGATGACCAATAAATGAAACGAATATTAAATGTGATTGAAATCATTGATACAAATATTATAATTGATCCCAGTATACGACTAATTAAGCATTCAAAATTATTTACTTGTCGAAATAAAGTACCAACACATAATGTTAGATTTGATGTCATTATCTAAAAAATGACAACAAATATAAAACACGTCTGTGTATATTTATAGATGAACCATTTTCTAGGAAGATAACTGAACTTCTTTCTATTATTTTTCTTGAAACAACATAATAGGGCTGAGAAAAACGTTATTATCAACTAAATACACTTACCTAATTAGTCAATTTAAAAAGATGCACGCACTCATATACATGATCGAGAAAGAAAAGAGATGAGATGAGTATCATAAGTCGTAAATTTCTACTGAGTAAAAGAGCCTACTTTTCAGATAAACAAAAAATATCATTTTTATACAAAATGTCGCCGATGGATTATAAATCAATGGCTATTCAGATTATATCAATTTCCTTTTAACTAATATAAATTTGATAAGAAAGTATAATTGACATCAATGAAGCGTTGTTCTAAATAAGCATATAATGCGCTCAAGATAAAATAATATCCGTTCTTTTGATGAATTATAAAGAAAATAAATGATGTGTTCAATGGCAGAAATTATTATATTACATCTATGACTAGTTCTTCTTTTAACCAATAATTATTTTTTTTGCGACTTCTAGACATTTTTCCATCCTGCTATTTCAAGTAAAATGATCTTCTATAATCTCATATGATGCGTTGTGAGAGTTTCCCCGGAAACTCAATTAAACATCGAGATAGAAGATATAGGAGATATAGAGATATTGGAGATATTCATTAACTAGTGCGGATAATCTTTGTATAATATTTGACTTTGAATAGCGATCCATTCAAATATATTGATTCAACTTGCCGACCCTTGTTCGAAAAAATTAATCATAAAAAATAAACCACTGTTTACTATGTCTCCTACATCTCTGTATCTCTATATCTCTATATATCATATATATCATATGCTAGCATTTAATGCAGTTTCCGGGGATATTCTCCGAATGCATCTAATCTATAATATGTGTTGTTTCTTAATATTCAAAATGTTGTTTGGATTCATTTCTTTGTAGTATTCCAATATCATCTTATGCATTTAAACCACAGTTACCTGAACATTTTTTTTAAATAAAACTCTATCTTCTTTTAAATTGATACTATTTAAAACATGCTCAGAACAGAGTATGATTGAATAAAACTGACACTACAAATCGCATAATAAACTTAAATTTTGTGAAGAGTTCAATATATTATTAAGGTTGTCTGAAAAGGTTGAGTGAAAAAAAATCAAGATTTGGAATCCAGCAATCAGTTGATGATTAAGTTACTTTTTTTTTCGTGCTATGGGCGAAAAGGATAATGAATGTTTTTTAAAGCCACACCCAATAACTGATTAATAACGAAACAACAAACTGGCCAGTTTTCATTGGTGGGTGTGAGAGTGAATAACCTGTCAATTGTTGTGCCATTGCTCAAGCAACCAGTACCGACGTTACCCTTCTTATTTATGGATAAAGTTGTGTCAAGAAAATAAACTCTTCCATCCTGTTCATATTCAAAAGTAAATCTCATTTTGCTTTTTATTTTCTTCAGATCTTTTACGTAATTTTTGACTTCTTCTTTGGTTTTTGGTATATTTTTTTCATTTAATAATGCACATGAAGATCTGCTAATATTGTCAGTAGTTTATCTTGCATTGGTAGATCATGCTTCTGTCGATAGAATTTCCTATTAAATTGAAAATAAGTATTGTTTAGTGATACTGTAATCATTTGTCTCAGATCTTTTTCAGTGAAACTAGATCCATAGAATTTCTCTAAATGTTCAATACGGTTAATTGTAATATCTATTGCTCATGATACTGGAACATTTATAAAAAGGTCTTATATATCCAAACCAGAGATGAGAACAGGACAAGACGGTCCTGTTGTCCTGGTGACTTGTCCTGTCCTGTCCTGTAGGACAGGACGAGATTTTTATTTTTGTCCTGTCCTGCCGCCCACCAGGACAGAACAGGACAGGTAAAAAACCTTTGTCCTGTGCTCATCTCTACTATATTTGTTTTCTTGAAAACTATATAAAATGCATTAGTTAGAAAATATTAATTGGTGATATTTGCTTTGTACAATGAAAGTAAAAGTAAAACTCATTCTTGACATTTTACAACTTGTGAAAACTGATTTAATTGGTAGAAAAACGGCAGAAATCGTGACGTTTTGTCCTGCCGCCCGCCAGGACAAAAACAGGACAGGACAAGATTTCGATTTTTGTCCTGTCCTGCCGTCCACCAGGACCGAGATAACTAGCAGGACAGGAGAGAAAATCTTCTTCTGTGCTCATCTCTGATCCTAACTTATAAATTATGGTGTATTGTATGTGATGTTATCAATTGTTTTATGAATGAAAATATCAATTGAGATAGTGGTGAGATAATCATGTTTATGGCACAGATTACAATTCTCATAAAGTGATTTTGTTTATGTAATTTAAGTTAACTTTTGATTCTTAACATTTTAGCAATTGACATTAATTCATTTGTAAACTTATTTTTGATTCGGTTAAACTTGAATAACAATCTGATCACCAATTCAGAAAATTTCTTCTTCATATTGTGTGCTGGGTTGTGTACTTCTTCATACAGTGATTTGTCGTGATTTTTCTTCAGTTCTTTTCATGCTTTTTAATTCTTTCAAAGCATTACATTCTTAGTTATTCATGTTACAGAATTTACATATCTTTTTGGATTTCTTAATGAAAGTTGATATTTCTGAAATTCCAGCTTGTATTATCACCATTGGTGTTGATTTTAATGAACATTCTGTTTGGTTGTTATATCTATCACATTTCTTGATTTTGATGTTAGTAAAAATGTCAATCGTTGTGCCAGTACTTCTAATTGCGTTTTTGTTAAATTTATTTTTGACGTTTCTCGTTGTTTTATTAATGTATTTAATTTCCTTTCGTGTTTTTCTTCCGCCGTCTCTTTTTTGTTCTCATCGTTTTTACTCCTTCAGCTCAAGTCTTTCTCATGTTGACTTCAGGGTGCAATACTTTTCATTTACGATTTCAATATACTTCTTGTGTAGCTATTTATGTTGTAATAAATATTTTTTATCTTTGTTGCCATTCCAGCATGTTATTTCCTATTTTCATCATAGTTACATTTAATAAAAATTTATTTAGGTCAATATTTGTAACGTTTGTTGAAATACATCTGATATGAGATGACATAATGTTTGCTTATATTTCATTAGAGTTGGGTATACTGTTGGATTTTAATTAATCCTTGCCACAGTTGGTTCAAGTTCCCATCGATGGTATGTGTTATCCGTGTCCATAGTGGTATTTAGAATCATATCTAGTTTTTAGGAAGGTTATATTCAGTTTGCTATCTTAATTTTCAAAGTCTTCCATGTTATTGATTTTATCTATGTATTTATTAATTAGTTACGTTTCGACAACAACGCTGTCTTCCTCAGACTAAGTACAATTTATGTTTACAAACATTCACACAACCACATATTTTTCTTTCATTTTTCTCTCTCACTCCTCATATTGATGTTAACATATGACAGAGAGGTAGATGAAGAAAATAAACAGTCAACAAATCATATAAGTGTCACCATCTTGTCGTCACACCAGCATATGTTAAAATCAGTGTAAAGAGTGAGAGAGAGAGAATTGGAAGAAAAATAAATAGTTGTGAGGATGTGTGAATATTTGTAAGCACAAATTGTGTTCAATCTGATGAAGACAGCATTGTTACCGAAGCATAACTAATAATAAAAATCAAAAACAAGAAAGAGTTTTAAAATAAAAATAAAAATCTCAACATGATCTTCCTAAAAACGAGGCGTGACTCATGTTGGTAGTGTTTACGTAAGAACATGTCTTGAAACGGTAATTATGAAAGAAAAAACAATGTACTTGTCTTACTGTTTTTCTCTCAAACAATACAAATCAAACAAAGGATGTTACCTGAAAAATAATAGTAAGGTGAGTATTGCCTTTTGCTCCTCGTGGTATAAAATATCAAATACTATTTTACAAACAAGCCTACAAAACAAACCTTGGTTATGATGTCGAGTCGTGCATCATACATTGCTTTTGTCTTCATTACGATTAGTCTTCGTCAATATTGGACTTTCACTGATAAATCCATTGAAATGTTTTTATTTCTGACTTGATTTATTGTATTTCTTTTTTGAAGACCGCGTCTTTGTCGTTGTCTTTCGAATGACCCAACTTGCTAGCCAAATGCTTCTGTTTGGCAAAGATTCAATGTTTCTGTGAATAGTCGTCTTCTCATAATTTATTCATCAACTGCTTCATTGTTATGCATGCACTCAAGGATCAATATCTGTCTTGGCTGTTAATGCAATATGTTTTGAACACGTTCAAAAAAACATACAATTTATATCGACAAACAATCTTGGCTCAGTAAAGAAAACTTCAGGATACGATCTGTTGAATCGATCAACGGCATTTCGGTCTCTCATCCTGTGACTTCATTACATTAAAAACATAACATTAATTCCACAATACGCATCATGTGATAGTACAACTGTATCGAATGCTGTTCATTTCTGTGCCGGTAATACATGGGGTGATATGTATACATGATTGAATACATACAACTTGACAGTCCTTGGTGGAACAGGAAAATCGATGGCTGGTGGTGGTGGATTTATCCAAAAGGAGGTGGTCATAGTTGTTTGTCACGGTGGGGAGGTATGCCTACTGATCAAGTACTCGAATATGAGGTTATTACTGCGAATGGAAAGTTTCGTACGGTAAGCCCATGTCAAGATGCCGTCTTATTCTGGGCATTAAGTAGTAGAGGTGCTGGTACGTATGGCGGCGTACTGTCTCTCGTATTGCGAACATTTCTGTCACCATACATTGATAGTACTCTTCAAAACATCAAAGCATCGAATGATACTCGGTTTTCTCAATTAGTTTGAGATTTTGTTCGAATGTTATCCAGTTTGGCAGATACCGGATGGTCGGAGTATTTGCGTATGGTGGATATGAACATGTCGATGACGTTTCTTTGGTTCAATAGAAAGAACAGGGGCGCATAAGACCCTGATTTGGCCCATTGGGTATTCCACACTATATCCAGCACAATCATATATAGGATACAAGAGTTTAAACTGGCGAGTACTTTGATACTAGATTTCAGGTACCTTTCAAGTACATTTGAGGACTTCCTACCTTAAGATTTTGAATGGTCTCATCAGCATATTTGATTAATCATTTTGCTAAAAAATCCGTATAGGCCAGCTTCTATTATAGCTCATCGGATAGCTCTTTTCACGGGCTACAAAATCCTATAGTTTTTAAAATTATTATAGGTGGGTCAATAAAAAACTCCAAGATCACAAAGTAAAAATTATGTCCATTTTACATATAGTATAAGAAGTTTGACTTACCATTCTTTCAAAAACTTTTTTTAAGTCAACTCCTGTTATAACTCGTCAGATGGCCTTTTCTGTCAGCTACAAAATCCTAGTATTTGTAGAATCAGAAAAATGGAAACACTACTATAAAATAGGTACATATTGTTTTTGTAAATCTGTAAGAGAGTGATACTATTTCCTGTACTTGCTAGTTCTTTCAATAGTCAGATGCGACAGAAATTGTTATACGAGATTTCATATTATCAATGACATCTAGATCATTTTAACTATGTTAGATAATTGCATGAAGACAATTGACTTCATCGCTGTTGTGGTCATGAGGTTTATTTAGACTTTATTCATTTCGGTTAAAAAAGTCATACGATTTTTCAAAAGACATTTTTTTAAATATTGCCGCATTCACACAATATCTATTGGAATTCGTCAAGTAGGAGTTCATGATTCATAGTTCCATATGATATCAATCTACTATTGACACTCTCTGAAAGGATTTAATTCTGTGCTTGCTGATCATACATGCAGAGACAATAGTGATAAGAAAGATAAAAAACGATGAATAGCAGTTGAAATTGTTTGTCCGTTAAGAAACGAAGTCACCAATCTGAATCCTCGTCGCTAGCATCATTTTTATTTGTTATGGGTGTGGGTGTCGGTGTCGGTGTGGGGTGTGGGTGTGGATGTCGGTGTGGGGTGTGGGTGGGACATCGCCTCGTTCACACCCACACTCCACGCTCACACCCACATCCACATTCACACCCACACCCACACCCCACACTCACCCGCACCCACACCCTGGCAATTTTTTATATCAAACTCTAGAAATCTCTAGAAATTTTCGCCATTTTAATATAAAAAAATTTCTTTCCTGAGGCATTTCGAACTAAATCTCATCTAAAATGATCGATAACATCAAACAGATTTATTTTGCAGATTTAATGAATATATTAATAATCAGTATGGCGTCCGTTATCATTTTTTATTGTACGAAGACGTGATGGATAAGAACATCAGATAGTTTCAAATAGCTCAGTGTTTGATTCCATGTTTGTCAAAACATATGAAAGGTGTTTTTTTAATGTTTCTTCTTTATAACGATCATGTTCCGTTTTTGATAACATTTTTTGTTCAACTTCATTTTTAATTACTGTTCCAGTATGTCAGCTACATTCAGATCAGATGAATTTCCAGGCCAGGTGTCATTTCCCCCAAAATTGATATCGCTGTCTTGAAGCAAATGTTGAATCATATTGGCTCGCATACATGCAGTAGTGTCAAACTTGAAACTTGAATTCAATTGAAATTTCAACTTTCAACTGAAATTTCAAGTTTGAAGTTTCAACCTTCAACTGAAATTTTAAGTTTGAAGTTTCAACTTTCAAGTCGTTTCGCGACTGGTCCTTTTCTGGGCAGTCCTTTCGCGGCACCCACATCAGCTGCGATGTGATATGTGTCGTTTCGTGACCAGTCCTTTCGCCACACCCTCACCAACTACGATGATGTGTGTGCGAGAATGCGGGTTAGTGGTGATTCTGCAAAGTGCTGCCATTTGAGGCTTGAAAGTTGAAAGTTGAAATTTCAATTGAATTCACGTTTCAAGTTTGACATATATGACAAAAAGCAATACATTTGATTATGTCGAAGATTCTTTGCTGTTCTGTGTCGTAAGTACCAGTCATTTGCAGTTAATTACATTAAATTGATCAACGAAAACAATCAGTTGTTTTTGTTTATGAAATTTATAAACTACGAAACTCTTATAGTGTTCTACACGTGCTCAAAATTTTTATCCTAATACAGAACAGAAGGAAGAAAAATATCATTCGATAAGTGAAACAAAACGTGCTTGCAGGAGGCCAACATTGTCTATAGAAGATAAAAGTGGAAGCCGTTCTATCCTTTCTTTATATCGGCGACATACCATCATTCATATTTAAAATAAGAAGATAAAAAGGCAACAAAACGAACAAGAATAATATTATCTTGTGGACTGGATCATGCTGAATAATTCTAACAACGATGCCTCTATTAATCTTTGTGAAAAAAGCATTTTTTTTATCTAATAACTCATTATCAATAGATTATCACAAGTATACTGTGAAACTTTCTAGAGATTTGTGGTGCTTGATATAAAAAATTGTCAGAACCGTTACAATTTAATATCGATATATCTCATTTTTTCCGCGCTTTTATTTGGTATAAAATTTGTTAGTAGCACTATTCAAAATCATAGAGTTACCCCTGTAAAAACATTTTTACAGCCCCTGTACATGATAGTACATGACAGTACATCTCCACCGATTCTAAACTTTTTCCCAGTACATATTTGATTTATGAAAGTATATGAGTAAGTGAGAGTACAAATTGTACTTTTATTCGCGCACCCCTGTTGTGTTTTATTGTAATGTGTTTAATATTAGTCAATATTTGTGTTACTAGACATTTGTCAAAAATTATCGCTAACATGATCTGTATATTTCAAATGTTGTTTGAATTTTGTTGTTTGTAAGGTAGAATGAATGGTAGCCAAGAATTCTAAAATTGATATTTATCGGTTAAAACTAAATGACAAATTTAAAGTTCTTAGCAATTTTTCAATAAAAAAAATAAATGATAATTTACAAAACAAAAAAATTCTTTCTGTAGTAAGAGAAGTACATGAAAATCGATTTCTCGACACATAAACTGATTGTATTCTACAAGGAAAAGTATTCTCGAAATTGAAATGTTCAGCTTTAAACATCTTCAAACAATTTGAAATCTGAATCCCAAATTTTTCATACATTACAAACAAATTCAAATGAAATTGATGTTTCAATAGTAGACATTAACTTTGCAATGTGCTCGAAAGACAACAATAGGAGAATCGTTAAGAAGCAAAACTGCACCTGATCTAGAAAAAAATCATGCACAGTGATCGCTATCACCAACAGGTACTAACTAAATCTTTATCTCTTAGCAATGCAAAAGCCTTCAACGTTGAAAATACCATTATGTACATAACTTTAGTTGTACTATCGATTGCTGTAGCCAAAATCACAATTAAAGAAAACCATTGAGAAAGTAGATGGTGGTTTTCGTGCAATGGCTCCTAGATATAAAGACATAAAAGATGGTTTCTTTCTGCATGGCCTGCTTGTACTTCTCATAGATAGAAGAAAAGCAAGGATCGAATAGATTAAATGTTTCACAGGTACTAGGCTTTATCTTTCCTTAGGTATAAACACAAAAGCCATGTTTTGTATCTTTATCGCTTGTCTATGCTTTTTCATACACACAACAAAAGCGAGAAGTTAACAAATTATATGCTTCACAGGTAGCTAGCTTTATCTTTCTCTATTATATAAATATAAACACAAAAAAATGTTTTGTATCTCTATGGCTTGATTGTATTTTTTTATACACAGAACAAAAGCGAGGACCTAGCAGGTTAAATGTTTCACAGGTACCCGGCTTTATCTTTCCTTAGGTATAAACACAAAAGCCATGTTCTGTATCTTTATCGCTTGTCTATGCTTTTTCATACACACAACAAAAGCGATGAGCTAACAAATTATATGCTTGACAGGTAGCTGGTTTTATCTTTCTTAAAAAATTAAAAAAAAATGTTTTCTCTGTGCATGTTCTGCCTGTGTTTTTTCATACACAGAACAAAAGCGATTAGCCAAAAGATTATGTTTCACAGGTAGCTAGCTTTATCTTTTTCTATTATATAAATATAAACACAAAAAATTGTTTTGTATCTCTATGGCTTGATTGTATTTTTTCATACACAGAACAAAAGCGAGGACCTAGCAGGTTATATGTTTCACAGGTACCCGGCTTTATCTTTCCTTAGGTAATTATACAGACAAAAAAATATTTTCTCTCTATATGGCTTGCCTGTGCTTTTCCATACACACCATCAAGCAAGGAGCCTGTAGATTAAAGGCTTCACAGGTAACTAGCTTTACCTTGCCTCAGATATCGACCGAATTTTTTTTTCTTCCTTCTTTAGAATGGCTATATTTTTGTGTACATGGAATCGAAGAAAAAGTCTTGGGATTCGCTAAGTAATCGATGAATTGGTTTCGGTTTCCATAGGTATAGAAGGAAAAATATTTTTCGTCTATCTTTGACATGTTTGTATTTTGCCATAAATAAAATAAAAGAGGGATGTCTTTGAATTCAGTGCTTCATAGGGAAGTAGCTTTATCTTTCTTGAATTATAGAATAGAGATGACATTCTATCTTTATTTTTCTGCAAAAAAAAAGTTAACTCACTTTACTATACTCAGTCAATTACATCTACTTTATCCGAAAAATTTAATAAAGAAATCTAGTAAGTTTAGTTATACTATTGATTTATTAGCTCATTATCATGCATTGATAACATTGCAATATCTGAAAGTTTATTCAAAACCTTTTCTCTAACAATAAATGAAAAATAAAAATATAAAATCAATATTTTTCATGTACTCATATTTAAAATCCTGGCTGCTTTTTACGTTCTAACGATAACATTTTACATCAGTTTTATTTAAATAAAGTTGAACTGCTTTTGTACTTATTTCGAAAAATTCTTATTAGACGATAGTATATTTTCATCATAAGCCATGAGATTTACTCTAAGTCTTTTTTTTTCTTTATGAATTACATCTAAAAGATTCAATAACTCAACTAACTAGCCATAAATATGGCTGAGAAGTTCCATTTACTAGACAATTACCACACGAGGTGATAGGCAACGGAATAACGAATAATTTGTGGATTTGTTTTTCTTCACTATAGAAACGCTTTTTTAGGAAAGTAACGAATTTCGATACAGTACTATTGAAGATTGTCGGAATCAAAGAATCTGAATCTATGATCAGTTTCTCAAAATTGTGTANACCAAAAAAGTATCAAATTTCTGAAAATTTTTTAAGTTCGACGTCAAAAGGTCTTCATAACTTTTACTATTTAATACCAATAAATCCAGTTTTTGACGCGCTTTAATTCGGTATAAAATACATTTGTGATATCATTGATACTTTAAGTTGTAGAGGGGGGCCTAATTGTTTTTTAACACCCTGTAGATGAGTGCATCAGCGAGATTTTTTTATCCAATACATAATTGAATGTATTCTCTCTAATGAAACTATTTGCAACTTAAAATTCGCTATCTAGCAAAGTATTTTTGCTCTAATACTACTCTTCGGACCCAATTTGTGTTATTTTTCACTAATCTTCAACAAGTTTCGAATAGATTATTCCACATTTAGTCTCAAACAGATATTAAATTTGAAATCCGCATAAAAAACCTAGTTAATCTATGTGTGTTTGAAATTTTTCCTGTTGCTTTTTTTCTGGGTCAATTTTTTACTCTCTAATCACCCTCCGGGGTATACAAACAGAAGCCTAATCAAAACAACAGTTTTATTGGTTATTCAAAGGTCTTTTTGTCGTCCAACGACATTTAATAAGTTTAAAACTTCCTTTACATCACCAACATAGTTTTTTGAGTAAATTAATTTTTTCACCTGTCCCTGAGAGGGACTAGAGTAAAAAATTTACCCTAAAAAGCTTCAGAAAAAATTTCAAACACACAGATCGACTAAGTTTTTTATAGTGATTTCAAATTTAATATTTGTTTGAAGCCAAATGCGAATTAATGTGGTCGTCGAATATCAGTCAAAAATAACACAAATTGGGTCTTAAGAATAGTGAGCAGAGAAAAGTGCTTTACGAGACATCAAGTTTCAAGTTGTAAACGGGTGGTAAGAAAGAACACATTAAATTACGTATTCGGCAAAAAACATTTCGATGGTGCACTCGTATAAACGATAACCTCTAACAGGCAAAAAATCACTGGTTGAAGTAATATGATCCGATCGGGGTGGTATTCGGTATTTATCGATAGAAAAAGTTTTCAATATCTAAAACATTCTTACAGATTCTAATGGAGAAAAACATTTTGCATCGAATGAGACTATTTTCAAAGAACCAAATAAGATTTGAATGGACTATCAGGACGAAAATTATGTTTTAGGACTTTCAGAAAGTTTTTCAGATCTTTCTTTCTATCCGACTAGTTTTCAAAAAAATGTGATATTTCTAACCAACACACTTAACTCTATCAACCTATAAGAATTTTAATAAAACGGCGGAAAATTTTTCTTTTGATGCCTGAGAGGTATCTCAGGTATAATATATTGAATTGTGATAAAATATAAAATAAACTTCTGAAAAATAGTCAGGAAGGAGTGCTAATTCTCAGGCTAATAAAATTAGGTTGAGAATTTTGAGATACGATGTCCATAATTTGACACACCTCCGTTCACGGGGTTTCTAAAGCTTCTCAAACACTTCTACAGTCTCGAAGTCTATTAAAGTCTCCTAAAGTCTTCTGAAGTCTCTTGAAGTCTTCTGAAGTCTCATGAAGTCTCATTAAGTCTCTGAAGTCTCTTGAAATCATTGAAGTCTTCTGAAGTCCTGTGAAGTCTCAAAAACCTTTTGAAGTCTTTTGAACTCCTTTGAAGTCTTTTAAAATCTTCTGAAGTCTTTAGAAGTCTTTGAAAATTTTGAAGTCTCTTGAAATCTCGTGAAGTCTTTTGAAGTCTTGAAGTCAGCTGTTTCCTCCTTGGTTGAATCAGTATTTCATAAATAAATAGCTTGAAATTTTGTTTTCAATAGTCGTATTATTTGTAAATACAGTAACTAGTCGTCGTAATAATCACTGTGCATAAGTGTCTAAAATTTAATATTCCTAACGAAAACGACGAACATACACTTGTGAAGAACAATAAATACGACTTAAAAAATAATTTTTGAGGTTTAATATAATCGTCATAGATATACTATGTTAGTCCGAAGTGTAATCGTGAAATGAAAAATAAAACTTGTCTTATCCATATTTTGTATATATGGACAGATCATATTATTTCATTGAATAGAAATCCAATATTATTTATTTATCTATCTTTTAGGGAATTCAAGGAACAGATGTTGCAAAACAAGCATCGGATATTATTTTAACTGATGATAATTTTTCATCGATTGTTAAAGCAATAATGTGGGGACGAAATGTTTATGATTGCATTGCAAAATTTCTTCAATTTCAACTTACTGCTAATATATCAGCTGCTGCCGTATCAGTTATTTCAGCTGCAGCTATTAGTGTATGATCTACATTCTCATTTCTTTGATGAAACATGATCTAAAAATGAGTCTTACATAGAGATGTGCGGGACTGATACTAGCAGAACAAAGTTGTCCCAATTGGAACTAAAGATTATAGTAAAATATTCTATGGTTCTAAGTGAATTATCTTATAAATCATATCAATCAGGACATAAGTCAAGAGAGATAACCGACAAAAAAGTGCTAGTCGTCGACTAAATAAATCAAAAAGCTACTATTGAAGAATTTTTCAGATGTGATACAAATAAATTCTAGAATAGTTTTCTCTAAAGCGGGTCTAAGGCCGAGACTGAGATAAAAAAACAAAACTCACTGGGACCAGGGCTCCTAGAAAAGACGCTACTGGGGCCGGATCGGTGGAAAAAAGTTATCGGGACCGAGACTAAAAAAACTTGGTCCTATACATCTCTAGCGTTGAAGAAGTATACAGGTAGAAATCTGAACTTCACATAGACCGTGACAAACACTTTAGTAACGTCCTTGTTCATCGTAGTATGTGGCAGATGTACCCATAGAACTAAAACCTTCATTGGAATTATTATGAAAGAAGATTGTATGTAAGATATCTGTCTTTGTCTCTCTTGTCAAGCACACTGTAACATATAATGAAAAGTAACTTTCATCACGGATATATGAGCACGTTGGAAGTCCCAAACTGAAGCATATTTTTCAGAATTCTCTAATTTACAATATATGCAGATCAATTGTGTTTCACATTTTTTATGCGCAAAGATTGTGCTAACAACTTTTTCCTGTTTAGAAAAATGTATGTTTTTCTTTTTCTAGAGTGTTCCATTACGCGCTGTTCAAATGCTTTGGGTCAATCTTATTATGGATACATTAGCATCATTAGCATTAGCTACAGAATCACCAACTGAAGAATTATTAACTCGAAAACCTTATGGTCGTACAAAATCAATCATATCCCCATTAATGTTACGTAATATTCTTGGCCAATCTTGTTATCAACTTGTTATTATGTTTATTATACTTTATGCTGGACAACATTTTTTGGGTTTTGAATCAACTGTTGAAAAACTTCAAAATAATCCAGATGCTGGAAAAGAATTAAGTGCACAATTTACAATGGTATTTAATGCATTTGTATTAATGACTTTATTTAATGAAATTAATTCTAGAAAATTACATGGTGAAAGAAATGTATTTAAAGGAATGTTTACAAATCCATTTTTCTATGGTATTTTGTTATTCTCTTTTGGTGCACAAGTAAGAAAAGAGATGCAATAGAAAAATTCATATTTACATATCAACATTTTAGATTATAATTGTTACTTTTGGTGATAAAGTTTTCAGTTGTGCAAGATTAGATATTAAACAATGGGCATGGAGTTTACTCTTCGGTGTTGGATCACTCATATGGCAGCAGGTTTGTAATTCGATTTTTGCTAAAGTTATTCATATAAGTTAGTTTTAATTATTTAGATTATTTTATTCATCCCACTTAAACCATTCAGTAAATGCTTTTCAGTTTTATATCGTATTTGTTGCCCATGTTGTTATAAAAAACAAAAGAAAACACACGGAGAAGAAGACGAAACAGAATATGAAAAATCCGATAGTAAAACTGAAACGAAACAATTAACGAAAAAGATCGACAAACATGATCGAAATGATATTGGTGGTGAAATAATTTCGAAATATTCTACAATTGGTCACTTAACTAATGCAACAGTTATTACTGAACCACCACCAGCGTTTGCTAAATTTATGCTTCGAAAAAGTGTTTATCAACTTAATTCAGAGGTTTGTTTTTGTTTTTCGATTATTCTTTTTGTTCTTATAAATTGTTCTTTTTTAGTTTCGAGCTATAACTGAATTTCGATCACGACTCGAACAAGTTCAAAAGCAAAGACATGAAGATGTTATTGAACATAAACGCCATAGTCAAGATAATATCCTTGATGAATAATCGCTAAAAGACGTGCTACAAATTTCTCTATTTGTTTTTTTTTAAATTATTTTCATTATTCTGCACTGTTTATATTGTATAAAACTATTCTGCCATTCTAATATTCAAGAAATAAAAAAACAAAACATTTTTTTTCCTTAGTTTTGTAATAAACTGTTTATATATTCAAATAAATTTAAAAAAAATGAATGACATGTAAATTTTTGGCGAATTTGACGATGAGGGTGCCTTTAATGCGCTTGAATTTATTTCCAGGGGACAAGTGCAATTAAAAAGGTATATATATATATAGCGTTGTAGAGAATTCCACGGGCTATTCGAATCTATAATTATTTTTCTCAAAATGTCAATTTATAGTAACAATATATATCAAATATACCAAGTCTAACTATTTTTTTCCAGGGGGATATATGTCATATAAAGGATTTGTTAATCGTAATAAATGATATAAAAACTTAATAACTAATTCAAATTTTTTACATCAAATAAATATTTCAACAATATCAAAAATCGATTTCGAAAAATATTATATCAATACTCTTGTACCATATTGACACTGAATTAAGGACCCTATCGGATTTGGCAACTTCTCTGAACCAAGATACTACATATATGGTTTTGTAGAACTCATTGCGGCGCATCGAATGGTATATAAGAATTCTAAATTCTCTCAAATTTTCGCGTGACCGGGACCGATATTCGAGCTGTAGCCTTAGGTAATATGTATGGAAATCATTGACCTTTTGGTCCCTGAGAGTTTGTAGGACGAACTGATATAAATTTTGTTTTAAACTCAATTCAATAGAGTTATAGTTGCTCTTTAATTTTTATAATCAACTGTGTTCTTCGTTACTTTTCTCGTGCTTAAAAATAACCATGTGCTATAGCTCTAGGCTATTTTGTGACTTTTTCACATTTCTGTCTGCTTTATGTTATGTTGCAGAACAAGTGAGTAACAACGTGAAACTTTCTCAGAAATTGCATACAATTGAGCTGCTCTATTTATTGCACGAATTAAATTCTTGGTACCAGCAGCGGCTCATCGTCAACTTGTAAGATTGTCTGCTTCAATGGTGTATTTTTCTATATACGTAATAAAGTCAGTATACTGATCATATTGTACCAATAGTAAATCGTTCTATTAAAAATATTTATGCTGAAATAATCAGCACAATATTCCTAAGAAATTGA